GAAACCCAGGATTTGTTTCTGTGTAGGTAGATTCTTTTCTGCTTTATTAAGGTTTAGGAATAAAATGGAGGGTTGTGATCAAAGCAAGGTATTTGTGGGTGGGTTATCATGGGAGACAACAGAGGATGTGTTGAGAGAACACTTCGGAAAGTATGGAAAGATTATGGACGCTGTAATCGCTAAAGATAGAATCACTGGAACTTCTCGTGGATTTGCGTTTGTTTCCTTCTCTGAAGCATCGACTCTGGATGAAGTTCTTCTTAATACTCATACGATTCTTGGGAGAACGGTTTGTTTTCTTCAATCACACACTCATTACATCTAATTTGCTTAATCAATCTGTTTGATTTCTTTAATCAATATATTTGCATCTTGTTGTTTAAGATAATCCTCGACTAAATCGATTGACTGTTTAATTAAATTACGATAATCCTTTTTGACATATTCTTTCCGATTCTTAACAGGTTGAAGTGAAAAAGGCTGTTCCAAGACACGAATACAACCAAAACAGATTAAATAAAAAGGTTAAAACTAACGATATTGTTATTAGCAACAATAATATAAAAATTAAGAAGATTTTTGTAGGGGGGTTACCTGCGAACATTACAGAAGAAGAATTCAAGGTCTATTTTGAACAATTCGGTAGAATTACAGATGTAGTTGTGATGCATGACAACATAACACATAGGCCAAGGGGTTTTGGTTTTATCACTTTTGATTCTGAAGATTCTGTTGAACAAGTTATGCAAAAAAGTTTCCATGAATTATGTGGGAAGCTCGTGGAGGTCAAAAAGGCTGTACCAAAAGATGATCATGGTGGTGTTGGTGGTTGGAATGGAATCAGCAATTACCTCTCTGGTGGGAATGGAATAGGCAATTACTTTGTTCCCGTTTATGGTGGTAATCCTTATGGTTATTATGGAGGGTTTAACTATGGTTTGGGTCCATGGGGGTTACCCATATCATGTGGGTGTTTTTCCCAGTTACATGAATAATGGATACGGGTTAATGGGTATGGGTGGGATTATCGGGTCTGTGTCAAATGGAAAACCGAGTCAACTCAGTGAGCAACATGGAGCATCTTCTGAGATTTTAGATAATTATTTGGTGAGAAGAGTAGCTAAGATGAAGAGGTTAGTGGATTCACATAGCTTTACCATTCTTGTGTGATTAAACCTTTTTTAGTTGAATCTAATATATTATAAAGATGGTTTTTTCTGATATATGATTTATGGTTTTAACAATTGATGGATTTGGATTTGAATTTGAATTTATGTAACATCACTTTTGTGGGAATGTCTATAAGTTTCTGAGTTTTATTTGGGGATTGTTACGAATGTTTTTTAAAGATGTCAAAAATATGATCAGTTTGTTGAATGTGCCTTTCTATTTTGGTCATTATATGACTAACCCAGTTAAATACATAGTTTTAATATTATTTTTTGCCGAAAATATAAGTAACATATTTGCATAGGAACTTTTCAATTCTTTTGTAATTTAGATAGATACATTATATAAAACTAGGTGTGAGAGTCATGTGTTGATTAAAAAAAACAAAAGTTAAATATAAATGTGTAACCTTAAGCATTTTTTTTTAAGTAAAATTATAAAATAAACACAAATGATATGATATCAAAAGTATAATAAAAAAAATTATTGATGTATTTTAAATAATTGTGTTGAATCCTTCTTGATGATTTTGTAGAGGAAACGCTTTCAAAGTCAAGCAGAGTATCATGGTAATGTGATGATGAATGAATTAAATATGAAATCATATATACATTAAACTGAAATTGAATTTTGAAATTGATTTGTAATATTGAAACATGCCAAAATTGGGTGATTGATAGTGTTTCCTATTGAAATCGATATAAGCAACAAAAGATAAAAAGTAAATGTCAATTTCGAATTCTATACTCAAATGGATGTGTGTTATGAGCTAAAAGATTGGAAACTACAGTGACTTTGTCATTAGATTAGGATTTAGAATAAGTAAGAATCAACGTATTCACTATAATTTACTATCATATTAATTACATTTAATACATCTATCTATCCTTACTACTAAAACAATACATCTATCAATTCCATATCCATTTACATCAACATTTGCCACGTGTCCTTCTGCCAGACATTTTATAAGAACTAGGTTTAAACCCGTGGAACTCAACGGTTTAAAATTGAAATATAATTATACTTTTGATAGTCTAAATAAAAAGATACTAAATTTTAGAAATAATGAAGAATTATGATATTGTAATGTAATTAACATGAATAAATCAAATGAAACCTTACGATAAGTAGCAGCCTACTTTTTAAAGTTCATCTATAATAGCAACCAACTTCATAGAATAGGTTGTGATAAGAACTTGTTCATTTTTTTTTTGTTATTTTTCAAATTTGGTCCTTTTGACATGATTTTTTTGGTAAATACCAACCAACTTTGTATATAGCAATCAACTTTGTAGAAATTACAATCTACTTAACATTTTCATTCTCAATACCACTTCAACAAAATGTCATTTTTATTGATTTTAAATAGGTTTGGCTAGGGCTGTAAACGAACCAAACGAACACGAACAAGGTCTTGTTCATGTTCGTTCGTTTAAGTTAGCCGAACAACAAACGAACACGAACGGATAAACGAACGAGATTTTCTTGTTCATGTTCGTTCGTTTAACAAATTACTTTGTTCATGTTCGTTCATTTATGTTCGTGAACATGCTAAACGAACATAAACGAACAAACATAAACGAACAAAGATAAAAAAAAAACACAATTGAACATATATGAACATAAACGAAAATATAATATAGCAATATAATAAAAAATAATTGAATATAGATGAACATAAATAAACTTAAACGAACGAACATAAACGAACGTAAATGAACATCATAAACGAACGTTCACGAACATAAATGAATGAACGAGATCATTGTTCATGTTCGTTCATTTAACTAAACAAACGATAGTTTTTGTTCATGTTCGTTCATTTATTAAATAAATGAACATAAACGAACTTCCCACCGAACAGTTCACGAACGGTTCGCCGAACGTTCAGTTCGTTTACAGGCCCTAGGTTTGGCATTATAATAACTTCAAAAACCAAAATATAACATTTGAACCGTAGGTATAAAAATATATTAACTGACTTCACAAATTACTTCATTGCCCACATGGAGTTTGACAGACTCCTCGTTAAATTTAGCAAGATAAATCACATAGCCGCCACCATAAACTATAAATTAAGGCATTCAAATGATCCACATAGGCCTTTGAGTACTCCATTATCAAATATAAAAAAAAACCCAATAAACCATGTCAAACTTGGAAGTATTAATTGTTGATAACAAATAAGAGTAATTACAAAAATGGTATGAAGTATGCAGTTTTTACTTTTACTGGTTTAGTATAAAATGGAACCTTTTTGCAATTTTGGTCCTCAGTTTTGGACCATATGTCGTTAACTTTAACAACCCTTCTCTTATTATTTTTTTATAATTAAAAAGGATCTCAACACTTTTCCATCAACAACGATTTCAACTAATTACATGTATAATACTTTAAAAAAATGATAATATAACACAAACATGAAATAAATTAATCAATTTTCTTTTTGTCTCCAATAATGAATGCAAATTTAGAGTGCAGGTATTTAAACAAATTCAAATTTAACATGAAAATTTTCTTTTTCTTTTTATCTCCAAGATGTTTTATGATTATAATTATGTATAAATTTGTTATTTGTTGTAATAAGTTTCCGATATGTCTGACGAAAAACTACTCAAGGTTTATATTTGTACTAATTTAATAGAAACATCACTTTTATTGTTCGGATCAAACTACTATTTTTACATATAAATAAATAAGTATAAACTTTTTATATAAAAAACAGAGTTTTATTTTTCTTAGCTATCAAGTAATGGATTATACAACATTGGTTACTTAAATATTCTCTTTAGCAGGTGCAATGTAACCTTGATTCAATTGATTGCAATTTTAGTTTTTTGATTGAATGCATGAAAAAAAATACTAAAGTAGGATCATTAACAATATGTTTATATTACTGTAATCATACTAATTATATATTTTTACTAAAGCATGAAAAACTATTTAACAACTTATTCCTAACAATTGAAAAAAAAAAACATTATCAGTACCACAAACAAAAAGGGTTGAAACTTAAATTTAGATAAGAACAATACCATCATGAAGATGATTTATATTCTTTCTCTAATTCAAATTACGGCTTCAAGAATCTTTTCAAGCATGTATCATTGTAATATGGTAAATTACACCTAGAGAGCTGACTAATAGCAGCTTTCGATTTGTTGACCTGCAAAGATTATAAAAACTATTCAACTATTGAAAATAAACTGTAAATGTTGATTCAAATTTGTAACATTGCATCAAGTGGTTTACAAAATGAAAATATAATTAGGAATACTGATGCAATCAACATTGGCATCAGGGTAGGTATGAGACCAGTTGACATACATATGAGTTATGTAACAATTATCATGTACCCATATTTCTCTTAGACATTTAAGATAACACCTTTATGGCACTCTCTAAATCGCCAAACTTTGTATAAAATGGCACCAAGAAAATCCACAATCAAATAATAAAGATTATCAGTGTCAACGATGTATGTATTAGAAAGATGAACATGAGCTAAAAGCTGAAAATATAAAGTCACATGAACTAAAAAATAACATAATGAAAACCATAAGTGGTTCAAGATTTTAGAATTAGCAAGGAAGTTTGTCTGAAAGATGAACATAAAGAAGACCCATCAAATAATCAAACTGCAGGACCCAAAACTAAGTAAAGTAAAGTGTATTTAGTTTTTCGTACTTATGGTTTCATGTATGCATTTCATCAAACATATGTGGTGCAACAACACACAGTATCAGAATTAAATACAATCACCTAATTATATTGCCTCCAATATGAACCATTGAGGGAGGAATATTATGTGTACGGTTACCTCAACATAAACTCGAGCTATACACAACGATCTCGAGAGGATAACGTCCTTTCAACACCACGACCCGTAATATGTTGTGGCTAGTTGAAGGCAGAGTTAACTGCCTCATGACTTACTTCCTGATTAATGACAACAATAATTAACACCAAAAATTAGGTGAATCCAAAAACCTAGAAAATTAAATAAAAATAAATGTACAACCAAGAGCAGTAATTGAGTTACCTGATTCGGTAACCAAGCAGAATGAAAAGCCTCAGGATTCCTAGAAACGTTTAGGTTATTGGCGGTTACTAATTCTATGGTAGTGAGACAAAGCGATGGTGGTGGTGGTAATATCAACTCTTCATTCTATGGAATTGCAACATAAAATAGGGTTGGAAAGATAGAGTTTGACGCCAGCGTAAATTACAAATTTTGTGGGTGTTGGGGTTTAGAGCAAAAGAGATGGAGGTACATGAATTAGAAAACGAAGCAGATCATGGCAATGTCCATATATGCTCTAGCATCTGTTCAACCAAAAAAAATAACAAAAGAAAAAAAAATTGTGGTGCATATGTACGTATGAGAGAAAACCAAAATAAGAGATTAGAGGGGAAGACGGAGAAGGTAAGGCAGGGAAAGAAGAACACCTAGGATTGATTCGAAGTATATATGAAATAGATAGGCTATCCAATTCAAATTTGAAGGAGATATCCTTCCTGATTTGTTGATGATTCTTCCTGATTTTATGGGATGCGCTATTCAAAAAGAATGAAAGTCAATTAATAGTAATGAATAGGCCGGATTTAAAGTCTGTGTAGTTTATAATAGGAAGGGCAGTTTCAGAATTTCACTTTGAATAAGAGGTGTTGAGGAGTTGCCACGTGGCATTAGAAGTACTGTTTTATTATAATAGGGGATTTGAATATTCATTTGAATATTGATTACCGTTTTTTAGCAAAAAATTATCCCGGATATTGCTTTCCAAATACCATACATAACGATTTCAATAAAATTAAATTCATTTCAATGCATTGAATACATTCTACACCTAAAAATTTGCATCTCTTATAACAAATTTACAGCTTCTAATCTGTACAATACGATCTTGACATTTAAATTTTTTATACCATCATCTCTAGATAAGGTAATTTCATAATATACAATCCTTTAAATTAGGTATTTCAAAAAATAATATAGTTACCCATCTAAATATCCAGTATCACATCCTCCTTTAACGCGATAAGGCTAAGAGATATTAAATATCCTCCTACTTTTATTTCTAACTAGGTGGGTAACCGTGCGTTGCGGGGCTGGAAATATCCCAAAGAAGTTTAAGTAAAACCGGGGGGTTTAACAGTTCGTTATAGATATAAAGAATCAAAATTACATAATTTTAGGCGGTGTTTGGTTCGTAGAATGTTTTCGAATGAATTAGAATCTGTTAAGGAATTAGAATCTATCTTAAATTGGAATCCAATTCAATATTTTGTTTGGTTAGCAGTAAATGGAATTTGAATCCAATTTTATATTTTGTTTGATTGGTGGAAAATAGAATTGGAATAGTGTAAAATGACATAACTACCCTTCTTGGTTTTTGCTTATTTTTACTTTGTTTTATAAATATACATAAATATATATTATATAGATTATAAAAATAGTAAACGGTGGTGGTGGCAGTGGCGATGGTGGCAGAAGCGACGGTGGTGGTGATGGCGGCAGTGTGTGGTGGTTACGAAGGTAGAGGTGGTGGTAGTAGTGACATCACTAGTGTTGATGGTAGAGGCAGTGGTGGTTGTGGCGGTGGGTGTTAGTAGCGGTGGTGGTGGTGGTGGATATCGGTGGTGGTGGTGATGGTGGGTGTGGGTGGCGGCGACGGTGGTGGTGGTGATGATAGAGTTAGTTGTAACAACGACAGTTGTAGGATGGTGGTGTAGGTGGTAACGGAGGTTATGGGTGGTGGTGGTTGTGGTAGTGGTGTCGACGATGGTAATGGTGGTGGTAGTGGTAACAAAAGTGGTGGTAGTGGTCGGTGGCAGTGGCGACATCAGTGGTGATGGTTAGTGATGTTGGTGGTGGTGGTGGTGGGTGGTAGTGGAGGTGGTGGATGGTGGTAGAGATGATTGGTAGTGGCGGTGAAGGTTGTGGTGGAGGTGGTCACGAGTAGTGACGAAGGTTTTTCATATTTAATGTTAAAAAATGAAAAGGGTAATATGATAATCTTCAATATTCCCACTTGAAGGAATTTGAAGTTGCCCATCTTTTAGATAAAATTTATTTTCCCTTAATGGAAGGAAAGTTGGACACATGTAGGAATCCAATTCCTTCTCAAAACTTGAACCAAACATATAAAAGTGATGAAATTAAATTCCAATACCTTCTGATTCCTTCCAATTCCAGTGAACCAAACGACCCCTTACATAGCTAGATATGTTGAAACCATTAATCTACAAATGTACATGAAAACCATTTTGTAGATATAACAGTAGAACATATCATTAGTATACAAAATAATGATCCCCCAAACTGAATTTGGAGGAAAAAAAACTAAATATATTCTGACCAGTAGAATTGCAAATATGCACCATGGAATCCTTCATCAAATGTTTTGGATTCACCAAGTTGGGCAACTTCAAACTTGAGATAATCAGGCTTCTCCATTGTTTTGTAATATTTTCCTACAAAGTAAATGATAATCAACCAAACAAAATTTCAAACACAGAAACATATAATTACAGGAAAAGAACTTGGGAGAATCTGCAAAAATATTTGTTACAAAGTATGATGATCGGAGATTAATAATAAAAATCAAATTAGTTGGAATTAGACCTCCACCTAGAACTATGGATTGAAAACCAACATTGTTTCTTGAGCCTGGAGTATCGCCATACATGCTAAAAAAAACAGTTCAGCACAGCGTCAGTTTAAGCAAACCTCGAACCACAATTTTCTGTTAAACTCAATCAGGCATAATAATCAGTAGCTACCTCCATAATTTGGGTCACCTATTCCAACCTGCTTACTTCTGTGGACCTGTAAATACACATTACAAAACAGTTAATCACCAAAATGTAACAAATTACAAAACTAAAAAAAGAATAACTAAAACTACAAGAAACGGTTACACAAATTGATAAGGAAGAATCAAACAAAAAATTGCTCCTAGGTAAATTTAGAACTGTAGCACCTTGTGATGATAGTTACATTGATGGAAAGAAAAACTTGCAAGCATCATACATTAGAAATAGTTATTCTATAAAATAAATCATTTCAAACTTGAATTCATGAATCAAAGATAATTAGCATTATACTAAGCTGTATTTAAACAATTCAAATATTATAATTAGCATCTCCTTTTCAAGTATAAACCGAAAATAAATATAATAAGGCAAACAGATGCCACACCAGCTATTATACTAATAATGATCATTTCAATTTTATTTGAATCAACCTTCATTTTGAAATTATATAAGAAGAAAAAATATGTAAATTAATAGTATGTATGTATTCCATAATTATTTTTCAAAACTTTGGTTTATATCAATTGAAAAGGTAAGCTAATAACTTCATGATGACTTACAGTGTTAATGAGATCAACGATAACGGGAAGTTTATGGTGAGCCAACTTTAAATTTTCAACCATCTTCTGCCATGGTCATGCTGATGAAGATGTTGTATATTTGGAAGAGCTAACAACAATGTCACCTTTTTTTGTTTCTTGTTTGGGCCTTCCCTTTCTACAGCCGAAGCAAAGTGTATTCTCCAAATCCGATTCAGTTTGTTATCATCATAACTTAAATTGCTGCAAACATCACACCAGTAAGATCAGAAAATGGATTAATGGTTACCAAATTGGAAGTACATATGTTGTCAATAAAGGAAAAAAAATAGTTGCAATCTATATTAACTGAGAATTAAAAAAAAAAAAAACTTGGATTAGATTTAGATATAATTCATTATCAGAGTGCTCGCCAAATATTTTTTTTAGCTTGAATCTATCTCAAGTAGCTAATAAGTGATCAATAAATTCCTGAATTTTAGTAGCAGAAATGTTTATGCTTTCTTTTCCTGTTATCTATTAATGGCTATGTTTCAATGATGTGTTGTTGTACATAACTGGTTGAGATACTCATATTATATTTGTAAGTGTCCCCTTTCCAGGCCAAAAAAGATGGATTTCAAGATTTTTTTGTGTCATTTGACACTACATTTGGATGTTTTTTGTGTCATATAAGACATATTGTGTTACCTTTTTGGCTATAGATAGTTGTGATTCCAACTTCAAAACAATTTTGGAGAAATTAGGTAATACATGCATTTAATTTGTACTTTGTGTCCACTCTTCATCCTATTCCCAGCAATTAAAACATACAAAATATCCAAAATAAAACACAGGATTTCTCAACAAATACACATAAATGCAGAGCAAACCAATATCAAGGTAGGAACATGAACATCCAAACAATATATAAAATAGAAAAAATAAACCTACACAATTCAAGTAAAAAAAAACACGCCAAAACCCATAAATTTTACAGAGTCAAGCCATCGTCGCTTCTGACTCTGCATGTCGTTTTTTTATTTGACTTTTCACTTCTAATATTTCGTTTAAAAATTGGCAAAGAAAAATCGATTAATACAATGTCAATTTCTTTCACAGCAAAAAACAAAACAAAAGTGCATCTTTACTGACTTTCGCTGGAGACCTCGGATTGGGGCATCGACAAAGAAGCCAATAACCGTGGATGGAGAGTAGTCGTTGTCAGAAGCGTTTGGGAGATTTAGGGGAAGCGAGAACCCCGTGGGTTCGATTTATGACCTCTATATCTGGATTTCCTTCAACCAAATTCCCTCTTTTCCCCTGTCTTGCTTTGAATATGGTGGGTTCGAGTCTATAAAACGAATAATAAAGAAAGAGAAGTAGAAAATACCATTGTGTTTCAAATATTTCAGATGATATTAGGGTTCAACAATGTGTATCAAAAACATATGCCTTTCATTTTATGAATAAGATATTAAGAACAATGAGACATACAAAATTACCTTCAAATTGCTTAGCATCTTTACAATTGCAAGATTAAAATAAAGCTACACAAAATTTATGAAGGTCAGATAACAATATAATTTAATTAAAATCATGAGATTCTTAGAAAAGATTGTTTAGTTCGATATAAATTTTATAAATAAAAATGGGTGATATAATAATTACACTTCCTAATCCATTCCATGGTGAAATTAGATAAAGAAAACACACCATGGGCTAAAAGGAAAATCACATCATAGTTGCCATGCATTTTGCATGCAAATCAATTGTAAATATTTACACCACATGAAAATATAAATTATAAATCACCTGCATGGTGGACTTTAGGTAGTTATTAATAGCATAGAGGAATGCTGGAACAGCAAGAAGCACATTGTTGCGACCTGCCTGCAGAAAATCATGACAGACATGAAGATATGAACTTGCTGCTGTTTTATCATAAATTAACTTATTCCATAGGTTATAAGATATAGTATATATTTTTAACTTTTAAGCAATCTATACCTAGCATAAAGTAGAAATTGGAATCATTAAGAATATAATTGAGTACTTTGTGCAGCATATGTTGTTGGAAGAAGTCTAACCAGTTGAAATGATAATCACAAACTGTGAAATCGTATCCTACCCACAAACATGTTATCTAATTAGATGAATTAACCAATTATAAAAGTGTGTTAGGAGAACATATGACCTGTTTGAATAAATCGGTTTATTGGATCGTGTGGGTAAGAGTTATGTTTGAAGGTTACCTTGATACTTTTTCAAATATCTTTGTCTCTCTAAGGCAATGCATTAAACACATAGTGGGCACAAATAAGATGTAGCAGATGGTATACAAATGTATGTTTTTTTGAGTGTTGCTCTTCTTATTTCTTTAGAGCAGCTTTGGCATGTTAGCATAACCTACAAACAAACATCAGCAAAGTAAAGGTTGTGAAACTGTGAAATAGATGTAGCAACATACGGAGCAATTTGTTAAACTGGTGGTTGTCTTCAACAAAAGCAAGCGCTAGCTGTCAAGGAAAAAAATGAAAACCCTTTCAACCATTTGGGCAACTACATAAGAAGACGTCAGTGATTTATGGACCTATACAACTTACAACTCGATTGTTCCCGACAGAGGCAAGAAAAATACGAAAGGAAAATAGAAGATACAGGAGGCAAGCAGCAAAGGTTGATTTGTACTTGATCGTTGCTACAACGAATTCGACCACAACTTCACCCAAAGAGTGGTAGTGGAAGCCCTCTTCTTCAAAGCGGAAGCCATGCATCGGCAACGGACCCTAGCCGTGGATGAAACCCCCAACCCTAATCGCCACTTCATGGAGCGTGCGTACAAGTACCAACCCGTGAAGGTGGTGGAGTTTAAGGTGTCACGTCAGCAGTGCATGGTGTACCTTGACCTGAAAAGGGAAGAATGCGGGAACCTTTTTCCTTTGGGAAGGGTTTACTCGCAGACGTTCCATCTAGGGAGCAAGGGTTTTTCTTGTCAGCGCACTGCAACATACACCAGCAGAGCTCGTTTTTAAAGGGAGATGGAGGGGAAGAAAGCAAGAAAGCCTAAGTTTCTTTGTTTAAAACCTTGATAGGTTTGTTGGAATGAGTTGCCTCATATGCATCGTGTCTGTTGGAATCAATTGCCTCATCTGTATGATCCCGTCTGTAGATTGGAGAAGAAAAACAAAAGCAACGATTAACATAAATTTGAAGCTGATGAGTTTAGACGAAGATGGAGAGTTTTCGAAAAGCGGTGAAATTCGAATATGGTTGGATGAGAAAGCGGGTGGGGGGAAGATAAGGCAGAACCACCAGGGGGAAACGTGGGAACGACACGTATGAGCCCCATCCTTATCTTTACACCACCGTTAATAATTTAAGGGACCAAATTGCCAATATTACAAACTTTAGTGCCAAAAATCTGAACCACTACAAATATGAAAATTTCTGGACTAGTTTTGCCAAAAAAATTAGGATGTTCCTATTCATAAATATGGTCATCTTTAATATATATATATATATGTATATATATATATATATATATATATATATATATATATATATATATATATATATATAAAGAATTATCTTCCTATCCATTTGAAATGATGACAAATATCTTAAAATATAAATAATTATATCAAAATATGACACTTGTCACGATTTCATATGTATAGGAAGATAAGTAGGAATAAAATGTAAGGGGTTACCAAATGGCTTCTATCCCAACGATATGTGGTATTGCCCTCCCTCATTGAGGTTGAGGGTTCAAGTCTCGTCGTGGACATATGTTGATTTAAAGAGTAGTTTAGGAGTAGGTTATATTTTCCGTTTCAAAAAAATGTATGGGGTTATTTAATTTCTCAAAGGCTAATATCTCCCAATATTTATAAAATTTTTAATGATTTGCATTTGATTAATCTACAAATATATAGGTGCATACTATAAAAAGCATTCATAGTTTCATAATTCGTCTTATTGGTGTTTCATCATTAGGTTTCTATTCTATCTACTAATAAACAACTTCAACGCATTAAGTATTCCATTTCTTTCTTCCTCTTGTTTCTACTTTTTTTATTTTATTTTTATTTTTTTTTCTACCTGTTCTACCATCTGTGTATTGTCCCAAAAAGACAACAATAAAATAAAATAAAATAACACTACGAATGTGTATTACGTAAAATTAGAATATTATTATGTAACTTTTTTGTTTATATTGTTTCTGATGGGTTTTGGTTATAAGACATCCTATGTGCTCATACAAACCCTAAAGCTTGGATCTAGGTTTCTCTATTGTACATGCTTTGAATCCAAGACTATAAACCCTAATTCTAGCATGTAAGTAATCATATTAACATGTAATTAGGTTTAGAACATACCTTGATTGTTATGTAGCAATAACAATCCTAATTCCTCCTTGAATTTGCTTTGGAAGGCTTAGAGTCACAAGTGTCACTCCTCTAATGGCTTACAAACACCATAAGCAAGTGGATAAGGTATAAAGAGAGAGGTGAGAGGTTAGAATTCGTATCTAGGACCTCTTGGGAAGGGATACACGAATTCATGACCCTAGGGGTGTTTATATAGGTGTAGAGATAGGGTTTCAGTCATTATCCTTATCTAGTTGATTATCCATTAAGCAACCAATAAGATAATCCTTGAATCCTTATCATACTCGAATTCTAAGGCTTTCCAACCTTAAATTCGTCCACCATATAAATAAGATAATCCTTACCTTATTTTGTAACTATCACATAATTACAAATCAGCCCCTCTAGTTTAATTAATTACATTTGATCACAAAACTAATTCTTAATTAATTATTGACCAATATTAATTAAACAAATATGATTTCTCCTTTAATATATTATTCTTATAACATATTAATAAATCATATTATCCTCTCTCTCTTTATTCATTTCTCCAATCAAGTTGCTTTGGTGAAGGCAACCCAAAAGGACCATGCACCATCGGGTCAAGTACATACCAAAATAGTTATGGACTTAGACACTAATCCAACAGTCTCCCACTTGGATAAGTCTAACAACTATTCTGCGTATGACTTCAGATCCTGATCTGCAATCGTAGCTTTCCAAAGCCGCTGTCAACTCTGATCATATCAGATACGCGTGTCCTTAGATAAGGGATCATATATTCCTCCATTCTAGATATCGTATGAGATATGATTTCAAATCATTCTCTTTGTACTATATCTCGATTTCTGATTTATGACGACAGACTAATTGAACAAATCAAATTAGCCCTAGCCCGGCCGAGCATTTACGTATGTCATCACTAAACCATCGAGGGGCCCAAAGATATCGCTTTTATCCTACTTTGGATAAAAGGAACGGATAAACTTTGATACAATGCTCGCTTGCACTCACTCACCGAATTACACACAACAATATGTTTTATAACACCAAGTTACTGGTGCGTTTACATATTATCAATGTGCAACCGATCAGCAAGATACAACTCACACATCTCGGTTTCAAGAATATAAGATGTTATCGTCTCACTAATCACTCGAGATAGTGATCCAAGTGAGCGTGGGTTTAATCCAATGCTCAAATCATATTCATAAGCACTCATGAACGTTGCAGCAAACATTTGCTTATGTCTAATACTCTTTTAGACAATCCACACACCAATTCACGACAGTCTTCATTCATATCTACTTCCAACATATGAACGACTGTGGCCCGTTTGAATAATTCGATTATTCTTAATAAACTCAATTATTCTGGAAGTCAAAACATGCAAAGTGAAACACAAGAATAATACTAATCCCATATGGCCTCAAACCTTTGAGTATAAACAAAACACGTTTTATTTATCACCATATCGATTACTCATTATTTGTCGTTTCGGGTAATCAACTTTTTACTTGAATCATTACACTTGTCCCATGCTCCTAGCATGCACACAATGTTTACCTATGGTTCTTACTTTTGTGAAATAGACAAATTGAACACATTTCCAATCATTCTCATTTCACAACTCCAAATCCATTTTCTTAAGTGTAAGAATATCAAATTCTTGTTACTTATAGAATATACTAGATTCTAACACTTTATGCAACGATCCTTTTGTAATGTCACTGCACCAAAGTCTCAAAGACTATTGCCAATGATATTACAAAGTCCTCTATCGGAGATTGTTACAAGACAATTCCTTAGATGTGATGTCTCTCACTCAAAGTACATTCCTTTGAACATCCTTTTGCATAAAAGTTTCTAATCTAGACATAGATTTTCAATATTTACTTCCCAATATGGACACTTCCATACTTTCCATATGACAACTCATTTCTTAATAGAATCTTTTCTATTCATCATAATGTCAATATGGTCCATTAATACCATGCTTCCAACTACTCACAAGCAACCAATCCTCGTCGAACTTTGGATTGTCCTTTGACAGTTGTTTAATTATTTTAGTCAAAACCGATTCTAGTCCCTTTTCCCTCTAAATGCGCTAGACATTTGGAAAATTTTAGAATGGTCAAACATTAAAGCATTTGCAATCGATCCTATACCCGAAGCGTATGGGACACGATGCACAATGTTTTATTTGCTATGTTCTCAAAATTCGAATTGTGAAGAGGAATGTCGTAATCATAATCGAAATTTTAAGAACACACTATGTACCTTTGACTAAATTTATTAACATTTCACAACCTAATCCTTTAGATTTGAAATGAAGCATAATATTCTCTCCCTTAATTATAGCAAAACAACCTTTCAACTCTTACAACTTTGCAAAGTATGACTCTTGTTTTCTATAATTAATATTGCCAACTATGCAATACTTGCCTTAATAATCATACAATCATAACATTTATGCTCCCACTATCATGATGATTATTATAAAACATAACACTTATGCTCCCACTAGCTTCGACATGTATTCATAAACATCTTAACTTTCAGAAAAACAATACTTATTGAATTTCTTAAGTTCATGTTTCTAATACTTAGTGCTTTGATAATCTTTTATCAAGGCTTCTTGAACTTATACACTTTTGCCTTAGATAGTTCATATGTGTGTCTTAACAATTAAGACTAATTGCCAAACCTCACAATTCAAATTATGGAAAGGGATGCCGTAACCATGATCGAATTCGAGAATGCAATTTTACAATCACTATCTTTTAAAATCTTTCTTAGTGAAAGCATTTTCTCACAATCATTTTCATGAAGGAGGAAATCTTATGACACTTAGATTTAAACGGTGTATGTGTTCCTATCCATGTGAATTTGTTAAAACCAAAGTTTACGACAAATTCAAACTCATATGGATCGAACTTTCTTAATCTTGATTTCTTGCCTTATGGTAGCACAGCTGCCCACCACGTCTTCCAAGTAGTTAAGCAGCTCACCTTTTCCTATCAATGTACTTTCCATTGATCAAGGTCCTTGCCTTTTATGCATTCAAATGAGAACTCATAGGACTCACATGCATAATTAACTCGATTGGATTGGCACAGAAACAAAATAATGTCTTCACGATAGGTTGTAAACCTCAACTCGTGTGCTAGTGATGATCGATAAGGTTTATTTGATTTGTTCTTGAAACTTTTCAAGACTATTAAGACTCCCACTGACTCCTTGATATATACGATTCTCTTATCAAAACATTTCTTGACAAACAAATATTCAAGAGTTAGTGTAGCTTATATCAAAACAAAACACTTCATAATTTTGGTCTTAGTTGGTCTTTGTCTTATCCAAGACATCACAACTTTCCACAATTGATGAATGTTATAAAC